GCAAATTAAAACAAGTAAGCAAACGAAGCAAGAAAGAAGCAAAAAAGCAAATAAAATGAGTAAGCAAACGAAGCAAGAAAGTAGCCAAAAATCCAATAAAAACAAGTAAGCTATCGAAACAAGAGGGAAGCAATAAGGCCAAATAAAACCAGGCAAGCAAACGAAACAAGCAGAAAAGCAGATAAAACAAAGCAAGCAAGCACCATCCAACAAAACGCGAACCATATCCGGGACTTAAGGATCGCCTTGGAAGGAAATATTACAATAAATTCAGTTGGGAGGAGAAGGGGGAGGGGAGGAGGGGGGAGGGGGTAATGTCATGTGGATGGGGGGGGGAGGTGTACAGGATATTTTTTCTTTTATTTGTTTATTTTTTTTGTTGTCTTCGTTCGTATGTTTGTCGTAGGTGCTAGTGCTGTTGTTGTTCTTGGTGTTGCAGGCACTATTAGCGTTTGTGATGCGTATGGTGACACGATGGTTGATGGTGATGAATGTGATGTCTGTGGCGATGACGGCTATGATGATGGTGTTGGTGTGGTGGTGATGGTGGTATGATTGAAGATGGTGGTGATGATGATGATGGTGTGGTGATGATGATGATGATGATTGAATGGATGTGGTGATGATAATAATGGGCATGAGTGGGGCATAGGAGGAGGCATGCGTTATAAGGTATGCCTCTGGAGGGATGTTGCACTCACTTGGTCAACAGCCAGACGTCACTGCATGCGGTGGCAGGAGGGGTTTGGTGGGTAGGTGGGTGGGGTGCTGGGTTGCGGGGTGGGGGGAGGGGGTATTGGAAGGTAGAGGGTAGGGAAGGGGACGAGGTGTAACGTGGGAACATGCCATGGTCGGTCTCTCTCTGGTCTCAGAGGGCTCTCTCTCTCTTCTCTCTCTCTCTCTCCCTCTCTCTCTCTCTCTCTCTTCATCTCTCTCTCTCTTCTCTCTCTCTGTCTGTTCTCTCTCTCTCTCTTCGTCTCTCTCTCTCCATCTCTGCTCTCTCTTCTCTCGTGTCCTCTCTCTCTGTGTTCGCTCCTCTCTCTCTCATGTGTCTCCTCTCCCCTCATCGCTCTCTCTGTCTCTCTCTCTCTGTCTCTCTCTCTCTCATCTCTCTCTCTCTGTCACCTCTCTCCTCTCTCTTCTGTCTTCTCTCTTCTCTCTGTCTCTCTCTCCTCTCTCTCTCTCTCTCCTCTCTCTCTCTCTTCTCTTCTCTCTCCCTCTCTTTCTCTCTCTCTCTCTCTCTCTCTCCTCTCTCTCTCTCTCTCTCTCTCTCTCTCTCTCTCTCTCTCTCTCTCTCTCTCAAGTGATAAAGTGATGTGTTAATGGAAATAGATATTACAATGGGGTCTGTATGCATGCATGTATGTATGTACACGGCAGACACACACCCCTACACTGCCCCCACCCCTCTCGCCACTCCCCTACATGGTCTTGGGCATATTGGGAGTATCGTTACACATACACATATATGGAAGCTTATGCATATATACATACACATACATAAATGCATGCATTGCATACATTTGCCACATTCATTACGTACATATTACACCTGTACTTACCAAACATGTTTTCCTCACACACATTTGTCTTACTAAACGTATACGCACATGTTTCTACATACATAAACACACGCACGGACACATGCACGCACACACACACACACATGCACTCACACGCATACGCACACGCATACGCATACGCATACGCACACGCCACGCACGCGCGCGCGCACACACACACACACACACACACACACACACACACACACACACACACACACACACACACACACACACACACACACACACACACACACACACACACACACACACACACACACACGTACGCACGCACACATTCTGGCATATATACACGCACACAGAAGAGAAAGCGAAAAGAATAAATACATTTATATTTGCTTTTAGGAAATCGAAGCAGCTCTGTCTCCCTCTCCTCCTCCTCCTCTCCTCCTCCTCCTCCTCCTCCTTCCTCCTCCTCCTCCTCCTCCCCACCTCCTCCCACCTCCTCTTCTTCGTTTTCGTGTCCATCTGCATATCCCACTCCTTCCTCCCTCCTCCTCCCCACCTCCTCCTCTCCTCCTCTTCTTCGTTTGTGTCCATCTGCATATCCCACTCCTTTTCCTCCTCTCCTCCTCCTCCTCCCCCTTCCTCCTTCTCCTCCTCTTCTTCGTTTTTCGTGTCCATCTGCATATCCCACTCCTTTCTCCTGCTACCACTACTCCTATTACTCCTACTCCCATTCCCATTCTTCCCCCTCTCCCTCTCCCTCCTTTTTCTCTCCCCCCCTCCTTTTCTCTCCCCCCTCCCTCTTTTTTTCTCCCCCTCCTCCCTCTCTCTCTCCCCTCCCTCTCCCTCTCCTCCTCCCTCTTCCCTCCCCTCTCCCTCTCCCTCTCCTCCTCCCTCTTTTCTCCCCCTCCCTCTCCCTCTCCCTCTCCCTTTTTTCTCCCCCTCCCTCTCCCTCTCCCTCTTTTTCTCCTTCTCCCTCTCCCTCTCCCTCTTTTTCTCCCTCTCCCCTCCCCTCCTCTCCTCTCCCCTTTTCCCCCCTCTCCTCTCCCTCTCCCTTCCCCGGCTTCAATACTTTACATTACTTAACTTAGTGGATACGAGAGAGCTCCGGGCAGCGTGCGCTTCCGTGCTATTTGCGGTACGTACGTCTACGCTCGTGCACGCATGGGGGGGGGATGGGTAGGGGTAGGGGGTAAGGTGGTGGTGGGGGAAGGGGTTGGGGGAGGGGGGGGTGAGGGAAGGGAGGGTGCGGGGTCTCCATTAGTGTTGGATGGGGGTAGGGGTAGGGGTAGGGAGAAGGTGGTGGGGTAGGGGGTTGGGGAGGGGGAGGGGTGGGGTGGGCGAAGGGAGGGGTGACGGGGTCTCCATTAGTGTTGGCCATTAGTGTATTAGTTCTTTCCCCGAGACCACTCCAATTAGGTTGATACCTTTGTTGATAAAATGAAAAAAAAGAAAGAAAAGAGAGAAGGAATTAAAAAAAAAAAAAACATAATGGAGCGTAATGGATACAGTTTTTTTTTTTTTGTGTTTGTTTACCTGTTTTATTTTGTGTGTTCGATTGTTTGATTGTTTGGGATAAGTGTCTTTGTGATTCAAGAGAAGGTGGAATGTATCGGATATTTTTTGTTTATATGTCACGTTGCTAGGATTATTTTGATAGTGTTTGTTCGCGTTAGCTTTTTGTTATGAAAATTGAGAGCGCCGTTAAAACGTAATTAATATTCTTATTGTCTTTTGGTTTGTGTATATTCGTATATATTTTTTTTATTTTTGTGTGTGTTTTTTTGTTTTTGTAAGTGTGTCTGACCTGTTTTCTTTCTACGGTTGGTTTTTCTAGCTTGCCTTCCTTTTAATAAGTGGTTTTGTTCTACTTTCATTTCAAACCTGTTTATTGTGTTCCTGTCATCATTATTTTTTTTTTCTGCCGTACGATGAGAAACTTAATTGCCTCCGCTGATTTCGCCGCTGTTGTTGTTGTGTATTTTTGGCAGGGTCTGTTCGGGTCCGACGGTTGGGCAATGCAGACCAATTTTTGTCTGCGAATGCGCGGTCTGTGGAGTGATGCGGTTGTGTAATGGGTTTTGCGTTGGTTTTCCGAAGTTTTGTCTTGTTTATCTTTCTCTGTCTTTCTGTCTTGTCTGTCTGTCTTTCTATCTGTCTGTGTATTTTTTTGTTATCTATCTGTTATGTATCCTCCCTCTCTCTGTCTGTCTCTCTCTCTCTCTGTCTGTCTCTCTCTCTCTCTC